TCAGCACAACTTTCTTACAGGGCAGCCTGCACGAGGAGATCTCGCTGCGCCGCCCACCTGGCTTCACTTGGTTGTTTCCTGCAGGTACCCAGTGGAGCCTCCGGCGGCTAGTCTACGGTCTCCGCCAGGCGCCTCGCGAGTGGCACGACACACTGAGGACGACGCTTGCGGCTCTTGGGTTTGCTCCTTCGACTGCTGACCCGTCGCTGTTTCTGCGCACCGACACTTCGCTGCCGCCGTTCTACGTTCTCGTGTACGTTGACGACTTGGTCTTTGCCACTGCTGACACTGAGGCACTGGCCCTTGTGAAGTCGGAGCTGCAGAAAAGACACACCTGCACTGACTTGGGTGAGCTGCGCAGCTATCTTGGCTTGCAGATCACCCGGGACAGAGCACGGCGCACCATCACCCTCACTCAGTCACACATGGTGCACCAGGTCCTTCAGCGCTTCGGCTTTCGGTACTCCTCGCCACAGTCCAGTCCTCTGCCTACCGGTCACTCGCTCTCAGCTCCACCTTCGGACGAGTCCGTAGAGCCGACTGGCCCGTATCCAGAGCTTGTGGGCTGCCTCATGTACCTGATGACCTGCACTCGACCTGACATTGCCTACCCTCTTAGCATCCTGGCACGCTACGTTGCGCCCGGGAGACACCGACCAGAGCACTGGGAGGCTGCTAAGAGGGTGTTGTGCTACTTGTGCAGTACATCGGGAATGGGGCTCGTGCTTGGAGGACGGGGTCCAGTTGTTCTCACTGGACATGCAAACGCTTCTTGGGTTGACGACTTGGCTATGCAGCGGTCGTCACAGGGTTACACTTTCAGCCTTCGCTCCGGCTCTGTTTCTTGGCGGTCTACCCGCTCGTCTTCTGTTCTCAGTTCCAGTTGTGAGGCTGAGATCTACGCAGGGGCCATGGCTGCACAGGAGTTACGCTGGCTCACCTACCTGCTGACCGATTTGGGAGAGCGGCCTCGTTCTTCTCCAGTTCTGTACGTAGACAACAAGGCCATGATTGCCTTGTGTCAGGAGCACAGACTGGAGCACAGAACGAAGCACATCGCTCTGCGTTACTTCCTTGCTCGAGAGTTGCAGCGGCGTGGTCAGCTTCGTCTTGCTTACATGGCCACTCGGGCCAACACAGCTGATATATTCACCAAGGCACTTCAGTCTAGTGATCATCAGTGTTTCTGTAATGTTTTAGGCCTTGTGCCTACTTTGCCTCACTTGCTCACTGCGTGAATTTGCTTGTACTGTGATATATATATATATATATACCTGCATGCTTACACTTGCTAGGGTGTGATCACTGTACTGTTTGTTCTCTTGTATATAACTCTGCATGTGAACTGGCCTTGTGGCCATTTGTTTGTGCTCAGAATGTGTGGTGACTTCGTGATCCACCCTGAGCTTGCTTTGCTTTTCTTGACTGGTCTTGTGACCACTTGTTCTCCCCCACTTTGCCTATGGGGGTGTGTCAAAATGTTATAATGTTTACATTGTGTAGGTTGTAGTGGGGTAGCCCATAAGGGGTACAACCTATCAAAATCCTAGCGTGAGTTTGGCTTAGGAGCCATAGTTTAGGAGCCTTGGTAGTTGAGTTCGAGGGTGAGGAGAGTGTCGAGAAAGTTGTGAAGGGGAATGGGGTTTCACTAGCAAGAGTTGGGATACAAGTACAACACCCTAAATTGGGTTGTACTCATTACAGAGTACCCCACTACAGGCTAGACAGCAAATACATTCTGACACACCCCCATAGCCAAAGTGGGGTGTAATCAGCACAATGAGCAAGCATAGAGCAAGAGTTCACAATAGGTAAGTAAGGCTAGAGCTAATCACAGAGGGCAAGTGAGGAGGAGGAGAGACTGTGGGGGAGAGAAGATGGGAGGCGACTGCTGACGCTGCAGACACACAGACGAGCTGCTGGCTCAGTGGCTACCGGAACAGCGCTCCGGACTACTGGGGTAACTGGCCCCGCGGCTAAAAGTAGCGGCAGACGAGCAACGGACCCACGGGCGACTGGCGACTACCGGAGATTGTAGCCTCCGGACTGCTGCTGCTGCTGACGACAAGACTGCTGCCTCCACTCGACCTCCCCAGCTGCCTAACGCCCTTCTCACACACCCCCTGCTCAAACCCTAGCCCTACACCCACAGCACCCCCATAAACCCTAAACCCCAGACTCCCACACATCCACCCCCCTCAGCGAGAGCTGCAGCAGTGGGAGACGAAGGAGGAGGAGGAGGAGGAGGGAACGGCACGCACAACCGACACCCCCACAACTATCACCCCCACACCCACCCCCCCACGGCTGCACCGGGTCCAGGAGCGGCTGCTGCAGGGGCCAGGGGCGGCTGCTGCTGGGGCGGCTGCTCCAGGGGCTGCTGCTGCTGGGGCGGCTGCTCCAGGGGCTGCTGCTGCTGAGGCGGCTGCTCCAGGGGCTGCTGCTGCTGGGGCGGCTGCTCCAGGGGCTGCTGCTGCTGGGGCGGCTGCTCCAGGGGCTGCTGCTGCTGGGGCGGCTGCTCCAGAGGCTGCTGCTGCTGGGGCGGCTGCTGCAGTGGCGGCGGCTCCAGGGGTTGCTGCTGCTGGGGCGGCTGCTTCAGGGGCGGCTGCTGTTGCAAGGCAGGCCGCTCCAGGGGCGGCTGCTTCAGGGGCGGCGGCTCCAGGGGCGGCTGCTGCAGCGGAAAGTAGGAGGGAGGGGAGGGGAAGGGCGCGGCCCCCATTGTGCCCTGACGGGCGATGTGCTAGGGAGCCGCGCAGGTCCCCAAAAGTGCCTCGACTGGCAACGAGAGGGGACCGCGCGCAGGCCCCTAAGGCGCCGCGACGAGGCAACGGGAGGGGCCGGCTCGCGGGCCCCGAAAGTGCCGCGACGAGGCGACGGGAGGGACCTGCGTGCAGGCCCCCAAAACGCCTCGACGAGGCGACGGTCGGGGCCAGTGCGCGGGCCCCTAAGACGCCGCGACGAGGTAGGAACCCGCCGCGCGCCTCGGGGCGCACGGCGGGCAGAAAACCGCCACGCGCTCCGAGCGCGTGGCGGGAAGAAAAATGGGATGTCGCGCGCCACGGGGCGCGCGACACACAGTAGGGCAGCGGAATCGAGTGGGCCCACAGGCCAGGAACGTTAAGCTCTGATAACATATCAAAATCCTAGCGTGAGTTTGGCTTAGGAGCCATAGTTTAGGAGCCTTGGTAGTTGAGTTCGAGGGTGAGGAGAGTGTCGAGAAAGTTGTGAAGGGGAATGGGGTTTCACTAGCAAGAGTTGGGATACAAGTACAACACCCTAAATTGGGTTGTACTCATTACAGAGTACCCCACTGCAGGCTAGACAGCAAATACATTCTGACACAACCCAGTTAGGGTTACCGCATTCCCTCGGATAAAAGACCCCCCCCATAATAATGTTCCCGGGTCTTTAATACGGGGGGGGGGGGGGGGGGGTTATTATTCAATTCTGTTTTCCTTATACCCCCCAATTGGGGTGAAATCATTAGAAGACCCCCCCCCCCCCTAAGCTCAAAAATGTTTTTTAGAGGTTAATTCATGTCAATTAAGCAAGAGGTGGGTCCGTTCCCTGGCGGTGTCAAATTCGCTTGTGCACGAGACGTGAAAGAGATAGCGCGACTCTGTGCTGAGAGCCTCACGTGCCATGCCATGGATGAGACGTCCGAGGCGGTCTGACACAAAGCATTGGACGTGGTACACGTTGGTCGCCCCCCAATCTGTAATGCTGGTTACCATTGAATATGGGCCAATGAGCATGAAGCATTCAGATGCTTCATGGATTGTGCCCGGTTTCTTGGTTCAAGACATTCGCGGGGTGTTTCTTCGTTTAAAAAACACAAATCTGCATTACAACACCCTTGCATTTCATTATATTAAAAAATAACATAGCACTTATAATAAGACCCGGGTCTTATCGGTTTTTTACTCTATAATAAGACCCCCCCCATTTTTTTTTGTGAAATCAGTAACAGCCCCTAGGGTCTTTTATCCGGGGGAATACGGTAGTACGGTACTTGTACCAACATTCTGCTCAATACATTTCATTTCTCGTTCAGTATTCTGACAGCTGGTGCTTACAAGGCGAATACCGCGCCGCAAGGCGACGTCGCTCTAAAAATATTGACTGTTGTCCCAACGCAGGTACATTGAATCAGAGTCGGTACGCGTTTGTACTCTGAAGGATCAAAGTACACTTCAGAAAAAAATCTGTTTTTTCAGAGTAAGCACTAGAAATCAAGCTGAAACTTCAGAGTTGGGGCCAAAAAATAATATGAACTTTCAGAGTTCACTTAGAAAAAAGGCTGAAATATCAGAGTTTTTTACCCAAATCAGAGAAATTTCTGACTTCTGGGGGCCTGGTTCACTTCCTTTTTCCAGCATTCTACCATATATGCACTCATGGTTTGGTGCTCTAGTCTAGAACATGCACAAATAAAGAGGGTCAATGAAAAAGCAGTAAATGGGCAGCTCAAAGGCTGACAACAGCAGTAGAGCAGAGAGGTTCATGTGTCAAAGTACCACATGTGCCTCCCCTCCTGCTTGGTGGCTGCAGCAAGCTGACAGCAAAAGAATGTTTAGGGTTTAGGATTACCAAGAGTGCGTGCATGTGACCAAGTGATGGGAGGGACCAAACCAGCAGCATGCCATGCAACTCTGAGAGACGGACCTCAACCGCCTCCACTCATGTGACGTCATGTGACGCAACAAGGAGCTGTGGTGTGCCATTCAGCTGCGCTGCCACGCACACACAGCGAGGTAGGTCCCAAGAGCTGTGAGCTTGCGATAACAGTGGCACAGCACCACATCACGCACTGTGCTGGTGTCATATGGCTGGTTGAATTGCCCAACCAGGTCTCACACTCATGCCACTAAATACGCTTATTGTCAGAGTTTAGTGCAAAATTTGGATCACAATTCCCATGGCCATCCATTGATCCCCATCCGAATCACCCGATTGTCCTTCTCCCCTGTGCCATGCGTCCATGACACAGACTGCATGCGTCACCCAGTCAGTCGCATCCTCTTGCGGCCAGCACCACCCTCTCCCCTCTCCTCGCCCCTCTCCTCATCTGCCTCTTCCACCCCCCTGTCCACTCGCTTCTTCCCTGCTGCATATCCACCCCCCATTTCTGCCCTTGGTCCAGGGTCCAAATCCAAAGCGCAAGCATGCATATGCATGCCCATGCTTTGCACACCATGGCTCATGGAAGGAGGCGATACACGCTTCTGGGACGGGCATGTGACTGTCACCACCATGCCACTGCCCTCACTGCTGCTTCTCTCCTGCCACTGCTCCTGCTCCGCCTTCACATGCCCAACCCCTGCTACTGACAAGCCCATTTCGTCTCCCTTGCCATCATCGCATGGCGCCTGCAGGCCTTTCTCCCCCTCATGCCCCGCATCCTCCTGCTGCAACGACAGAAACGACTCAACCTGAAGCAGCTCCGCTTCCTCTGCTGCTGCTGCAGCCGCGGCTGCAGCTGCTGCTGCATCACCAGGCGCTGCTGGCCCCTCTGCATGTAGCATGCCTTGAGGCTTGCAATCACCGCCATCCCTAACCATGCGAACAGCAGGAACTGCCTCACCCCTCTCCCTCCCACCACCCCAGCTTGCAGCAGCTCCACCCGGCTTCACGTCCCCGCCCTCCTCTACCTTGGCCACACAGCCTGGGCCTCTCAGCAGCAGGCGAGCGGAGGCAGCAGAGGAGGCGCGCAGGGGGGTGGCGGGCAGGCGGAACTGGTGAGGCGCAGAGGGGGGCTTCAAGTGCTCTCTGCCACCATTGGGTGATGCTGCAACGCCAGATGCTGCTGCTGATGCTATGGGGCCAGCAGAGGCAGAAAGAACGTGGTGAGCATCTGAGGAGGCGGGCTTGGTGGAGGTGGTATCTGGATGCGGCTTGGAGGATGGTAAAGGGGAGGCTGCTGTAGGAACATGAAGGCGCTCGTGTGCAGCAGGGGGGTCTGGGGCTTGGGAATGGGAGTGAGCAGCAGGCCTTGCAGAGATGGTGGGCGATGGGCTGGCATGTTCCGACAGGTGTGACAGGTCCAATCTGCAGGCATGATGCAGAGAGGGAGGAGAGATGGCGGGGAGAGCAAAACACAGGTTCTTTATCAGAGAAACGAAAACATGGTCGCAACATGAAACTGACAGAAGGGGGGCAGTGGGGGGCAACTAAAGCATCACGTATTAACTGGTACACGCAACAGTATCCAAGCACTGTGCACACACAGCAGCAGCAAGGCAATGCAGCATCTTGTTCTTACGCTGAAGGGACACGGCCAGGCAGCACGCGGGAGGAGTCCACAGGGGAGGGCGAGAAGGGCAGGCTGCGACGGACTGCAGACGAGTGCAGAGGCGATGCGGATGGCGGCTGCCAGCGAAGGGGGGTGGCAGCGGGGGAGGGAGAGAGCGTGCGCAGCGCACGGTCGTGACTGCGGTCCGCATCAGACAGAAGCGCTGCCACATCTGCACACACAGGGGAACACGATGGGTTAGAGAGTTCAAGTGGGCAGCATTAGCCCGAGAAAAGAATAACACCAAGGCATTGAGAGAGCGGGAGTGGTGCTGTATGGACATTTGAAAATGGCAGGCGGAGGGGACAGGAGAAAGGGCATACCTCCACTGCGACCATGGGGATTCTGGCATGATGCACATCTGCAGCCTGCTGTGCACCCCACTCCAGCCTGCACCCACGCAGACAGCGAAGGACAGCCAAGGAAACAGAGATGAGTGTGATGTTAACACATAAAAAGGAAGACTGGGTGGGGCAGAGCCATGATTGGCGCCAGCTGCAGTTGCATCTCCAACAGCAGGAGAGAAGGAGTACAAGCGGCATTCAATGTTGAGAGGCGAAGCAAGCTGGTTGAAAAGCGAGAGGAGTGAAGCAGCCAATTACCTGGTAACACTCGCAGTACTTTTTGGTGCACATGGAGCGGCGGCAGTTACACCCCGTCTTGTGCCGCGGTGCCTTGGGAGGCGCTGCTGGCACCGGTGATGCCGCAGACACGGACACCTGGCACGGCAGCGAGTGATAAAATAGGGTGAATGAAGCAGGTACTGAGCTTGGATGGCCACAGGATTGAAAGGCAGGCAGGAAATTGACGAGAAGGAAATGGCCAGAGAGCGAGTCACGTGGGTGGGGTAAAATTGAGGGGGAATGGGTAAACGAATATGGGATGGGAAGCGAGGTGAAAGGGAGCACCAACCTTGGGTCGTGAAAGGGATGATGCAGGGCCAACAGTAGCGGCGGTGATAATCTTGGGTTGGAAGGCCGTGGGGTTCCGAGCTTGAATGGCTGCCCGTGTGGCAAGCACAAGGGACTCGTACTCAGGTGTGTTCTGACACTCGTTGCAGCGACATGCGTCCCCGCAATACACATTGGCTCGGAAGCACTCGCAGTAGCTGGCAACAGGGACGGCAACGATGGGATGCGAGAGTGTGAGCAAAGTTTTCCCCTGGCTGCAGGTCGGACAGAAGAAGCGTTGAAATGGAGGAAGCGCGAGGTGGATTGTGGCAGCGGGTGTGGGCTCACAGTTTGAGGCAGCGAGACTTCTTGCAGCTGCAACGCCTGCAGCCCTCGCTGGGAGGTGGAGTGGCGGACGCACTGCGAGCACATTGAAAAGCGGCGGTAGAGGATTGATGAGGTGCTATCGGAGAGATGGACGAGGGAAAGCACGCATAGCACTTGAGAAAGTTTAGACGGAATAGAAGAGAGTAAAGGCGGGAGGGGAAAATGCGGAGACTACTAAGAGCGGACGGGGTTGCAGAAGCAGGAAGAAGCATACCTGATGGAAACGTGGTGGCTGCTTCCTTGAACGAGCGAGCCCTCATCGCTCTCAGACACGTCTCCAGTGGACGCACTCGCATACTCCACCCCCGCCGGCACTGCACTGTGCTCCTCCACACCCCCATGTGCCCCTGCCCACCGCCCCTGCGCATGCTGCCGTGCTGCGTGCCCCGCGGGCCCCTCGCCACTGTTCATGCGCCGCAGTCGCACGTCTCCTCCCACTCCTCTGCCTGCAGCACCGCCCGCCCCTGCCTCCGCCGCCCCTGCTATCGCGCCCTCACCGCGCACAGTGCTGGCTGGCGCATGGAGGGGAGCGCGAGCGGGGAGACGCAATTCATCATGAGAGTGGGCCGCCTTACCATGCGCGCACGCCACCTCAGCACTCCCGCCTTTGCGCTCCTCCATCGCGCTCATCCTTGAAGCTTCCCGCTTCATTTCGCCTTCAGGCAGCTCATGCGCGCCCTCTGCAGGGCAGCCCTGCTCGCGCACTCCGTCGTGCTGCACGTGGCGGGTGCTGTAAGTTGACGGCGCGGCATCCGTGTGCGCTGGAGGCAGCTGCCACGAGCCGTCACCAGGAGCACCAGCACGAGTGAGATCGATGGAGTGGTGGGTGTCACCCGCATGATGGCTGCGTTCCGTTGGCAGATCCGCTTCCGTAACGCCAGTGCTGCGGGCATCATGGGGATTGTCGTACTTCCCACTGCCGCCAGCAACAGCGCCGTCAGCCACGTCCGCTGCGCCTTGGAGGTTGCCGCCAGCAGCTGCGGACGGCGCTGCATCAGATGGAGTCCGCAGCAATGAGCCTGCATAACGGCTCTCCAGTCCCCTCGGCGTGACAGCCTCTTTCGCGTTAACGGAAGGGCCAGTGCCCACAAGCGCCGTAAATCCACGAGGCCGCTCGAGGAACAACCTACCTCTCTCCGCGCCTTCCTGCATGGCCCTGAGGCGCTCCATTGGGTCGCCAGACGCCAAAACATCAGGAAGCTCCCCGAACCCCATATGCCCGTCGTCCATGCCCATGCCCAAACCCAAACCCAGCCCCATACCCATGTGCATGCCAATAGTGCCCAGACCCATTCCTGGTGACGACAGGGCGCCAGGCGACCCCAGCTCCCACATCCGGCGCACGGAGCCCTCGCTCATGGGGCTGGAATCGAGCCCCGTGCCGTCCATGCCTCGGTACGGCTGGGTGAAAAGCGCCGTGCGCAAGGGGGTGCTGCGCTTGCCGTCGGGTGACTGCCAAGTCATCATTCCCCCAGGCGTTGCCTTCGCTGGCGATTCGCCGAAGCCCTCGATCAGCATGCGCGGCTTCTTGGGCGACTGCCAAATTTCAAATGCCCCCGCGCGATCTTTCGCGCGGAATGGCCTGCAGCCGCCCTCTCCTGCCCCATTATCGCCTACGCGCCTGCCACTTCTAGGGACTTCCCCTACCGCGTCATCTTTCTTCTCCTCTGCAGGCCGGTCCGCGGTTTCGTCATCCGCCCCGCCGTTCTCCGACTCATCCTCCTCGTCAAGCTTCTCCTCGGCTGTCAGCCTGCCCTCACGGCATTCCCCACCCCGTGCTTGCTCCGCATCGTTCAACAGCCTGAGACGCGAGTGATCCTCTTTTTCTCTCACATTCCCCAAGCTTTCACGCTCCAGATGCGTAGCATCATCGATCGGAGCAGCGGGCGGCGCCAACGTCAGAAACTTGTCGCCACCTTCTGCCGCATTACTCGACGGAGGCTCTTGCGCACACGACGCATGACGTGGCGTCAAAGCGCATGAATTGCCACTGCCAGATTCATGTGCGCCGTCCTTGGGCTGCTGCACCCAAACGGATAACCGAGAGCCAACAGGCGCCGCCACCTTCAGCCCAGACGCATCACAGGCTGTGTCGGGTGACGAACGAACGCGGTCCCCAGGTTGGGGTTTGGAGAAGGGAAGCGAGAGCGAGCGGCGTGGGGAGAGGCTGGGGATGTCGGAGTCTGCCAGAGACTTGCGGTCCAGTGGCGACGGCGGCACCTTGCTCGCATCCCCACTGCCCAGCGGAGTCATTTGCGGGGTCGTGGAGCCGGGAGACCAGTTCGCGAGCTTCCGAGAGGCCCTGAAAAGACACAGCAGATGGACGTTAGGCCCTCGCACTACCAACCAAGATGCAAAACGAAACGACCGGAACACCCGGCTTACCGTCGTAATCGACCTCTGCCACGAGGTCGTGTGGGAGATCGAAATGGAGGCGAGCGGGACCCATCTTGAAACGCCGCATCTCGAACTGCCCTGGCTTGCTGGATCGGAGAGAGCGCATCTGCGAACTTTGAAAACGGCGAACTCTGCACTCAAACGAGTAGGAAATAAACCACAGCGGACAGGGGTGACCCGGAGAAACAGAATGGGAGAATTTGAATTTATTGCGTTGAAAGCAAGCGCATACGTCATGACGGATCAAGAGCTACATTTATGCTGGACTGAATATATTATACACAGCCAAACCCATGGACATTGACTCCATAGAATTGAGCAATACGCCAGGCACGAGGGATAAAAAAATACAGCGACGACGAGGAACAAGTCTTGGATATTAAAAAGGCTAGGCCATTGCGGCCGCAAGAACTAAATGGAACTGCTCGTCAAGAAGAGAGCACGGCGAGCAATCAGTGTTCGGGAGCCACACCTGGTCATCATCGCTGAATACTTGCATTGCCTTTGGCTCGGGAGACGAGAAAGTTTCAGCAGTACCCATTCTTGATGATAATCCAGGATCATTGACCTTTCGACTTTCAAAAAAGCAAAAATCCGTCTGCTAGTCTGAGGTCATTGGGATCAGATGGAGCGGAGAGGCTTGGTGGCTGTGAAGGTGTAAGCATGGTGGTTTTGGGAGATGATTGAGGGGAAGGCGAGAGCGTCCTGGGATGATCGGGTAAGCCCACATTGCTCAGAGAGTGCCGATGGTGGATGAGATTTGGGTCTGAAACGCAATCTCCACCGTTCAACCAAAACTTCAAGCTTTTTGCTTTGCGCCAAAACCTTGCGGCTCCAGCTCCAGTTTCGCCTTCGTTGTTGGTAAGTACGCCTCGTGAGAGGTCTCCATGGGACATGCCCGTGGTTGACTGGCTGCTTCGGCATTACGAACCTCCACTTTGCGACCACAAAGCCTCCACCTCACTCTCCAAATGACTTGTCATACCTGAAGCCGAACCTGATGTTTGGTTATGGGAGCAGGTTGAGCATCCATACCTCGATGTCACCATGCATTCAAACTCAGCTTTTGAATTGCCAAATTGAAATGGTGAGCATGGATTCTTCCAGCTACGCGATAGTCAGGATGGCAGAGTAACAAGTACACCAGAAGAATAACATGGTATGTATTGGAAACATAGCAGATTTGTGGCTCGTGTTGCACATAGAAAATCATGCACTCGATTTGAAAGATAACATGTAACTACATAATATTATGCATTCGTAAATCAATGCAGAATGGCAGTATAAAATATATGATGCAAAAGGAAACTGATAGTAGTAAATCCATAAATGTGTTGCATTTTTTTTTAACAGGGATGCATGGATAGAAGATTCTCTCCCTGTACAGGAGATTCTGTTTCCATCATGATCCTACTACACTGTGAGGGCTTACATGTTCTGTATTGTCCATGAACTATCCACAACACTTGAAGAACTTTGCCGCGCGTACGTGTCTGCTTCCACCAGCATTGCTCACCAACCATCAACCAACCCCAGAGCCATGACATATCACATTCCAATTACTGTACCGAGGGCTTCGGGAATGTCGGTCAGGCAGTTGGGCGAAACGACACGAGCTACGACGAGACTGTAACCTTGATACTTCGCTAATAGCATCCCATAGGTGTGCTTGTTCCAGGGTTTTCTCTCCGCCCCACAATTGTTGTTCTGGTGGTTTCGACCTTGCCAAATGTGTGTTTGTTGGGACAAACGTCATGGCACCCACACACTCCAGGTGGCAAACCGTTCCCTGTTCCGCCATGGAGTTCTGAGCCATGTACTACATCTTTCTCACAGCCATCCATGCACATGATCACGCCGCGCGAAGCAGCGTTGCTCTAAGTACCGCCAGATGCGAAAATGTCGGGCCTCTCATCGGACCTATTGCTGGCAATTCCAACCAGCACGGCGCAGATGGCCATGCTATCGTCGCCCAGCCGCTCGCCGCGGTCGGCGGTGGTTAGCACCGCTGAAGTGAGTCCGCGAGGTAGGAGGTTCCGAGCGGCCATCGACATCATTATTGCACGAACCGTCGAGTCCTTCTTCGACCTCCCGCCTTCCACCTCGCTCGCGTCGCCGCACAAGGTCAGTCTTCCATCATCAACGGCGTACCAGCCAACACTTTGCGTCGGTTTTGTTAAATCCTTGCGGCTAACGCTCGTCCGCCATTCACGATTTTATTTAGTTTTGGAGCCGAATTTCACAACGTCTAAAACGATTCCGGTTTTTTCCTCTTTGTTCTTCTCGCCCCTGCTCCTCCATTCCCTCTCTCTCCGTGCCTTCTACTCCATCCATTCTCGCCTTAGCCTCGCTCGCGTTCCGGTTCACCGCAACGCTCCCCTTCGCAAAAGTACCAGCAGGAAAAGCAGCAGCAACAACAACAACAGTCGCAGCAGCAACAGCAGCAGCAGCAGCTGGGGCAGCGCAGGCAGCAAGACAATTTAAAGTCCTCTCAAGTGCAGCGTGCGGGTGACCGAGCCGCACAAGCGAGTCAGAGGGGCTTGACTGCGGGTGCTAGGGGGGGAGATGCGGCGGGTGCGGTGGGGAATGGCGGTGGTAGTGGGCGCATGTCGCCGTCCGCAGGAGCATTAGGGCGAGGGTCTGGCAGTGCGGAGGATGGCGAGGCGGACACGCCCAAATTCGCTCTCAAGTCACCAGGTCAGTGCCGCAGCTGCCAATTCACACGGTGGCTGTAGTGTCAATAAATAACTGCCCTGCCAAGTCAATAGTTGTTCTTCGTGAGCGAAACATACCCCAGATTTCGCCTTCTTTTCCGTGCCCTGCCATCTCCGCGCGCGTACCTGTTTCCCTCGTTTTGTTGTCCTCAGGCTCATATTCCCCTCGAGGCCGCCCGCCCTCTCTGCCTTTTGATGTCGACTTCCCGGTTCTGCTCGGATCCCGCCCACTGCAAGCCTCACCCAAACGCGCCTCTCCAGCGCCCTCCTCCTCCCCCACCTCCTCCTCCATCTCATCCGCCTTCACCTTCCCCCCTGCGTCCGCCGCGCCAGCCACTCTCACCGCTTCCCTCTCATCCTTCCCCTCCGTCTCCGCCTCATCCGCGTTGTCAGCGCCCTCGGATTCCGCAGCTGCGCCCGCCGCGCCCGCCATGGCGCTCCACCAGCCGCTCTGCTTCCCGGGTGCGCAGTCCGTGCATCCGCCCGAGGACGTGCCGTCCCTCGCGGCCGCGTTCGCCGCAGCCAAGTCCGCACAGGCTGCGGCCTGCAAGTCCCCCGTCGCCTCGCCTCTCTCTTCCCCCAGCCCGTCCCCCTGCCCCACGCCATCCCGCCGCCGCCTCCCGCCGTTCCCGGAGCCGCCAATGGCAGCGTGTCTGTTCGACGCCATGGACAAGCTTCTCTCTGTCTCCACGGGGGTGGCGGAGCTTGCTGCACCTCCGCCGCCGTCCCTCGCCTCTCTAGCCGCAGTCTCGGATTCTCCCGCTTCCGGCGCTCTGGGCCCTCTGTGGGCGTCAGCCGCGGGAGGAGGTGGGGGGAAGGGGCTGGCGGGTGGGGGCATGGGGGGACTGGAAGGGCTCATGGGCGGTCTCCACCTGCTTGCAGCAACCTCTGGTGGTGCCGCTGCCTCTGCTACTGGCGCTGGGGGAGGCACTGGCGCTGGCAGTGGGGGAGGCGGTGGCGGAAGCAGAGGGGCGGGCAGTGGTGGGGGCCAGGCGCGCACTCTGCTAGGCCTGGTGGACCCTAGAGAAGCGGCCACTGCAGTGGCGCCGTCTAAGAGCCGCAGGCAAATGGAGGCTCTCAGGAAGGCGCGGCAGGCGGGGCGCGGGGGACAGCTGGGGCTGGTGACTGGCGCTGCTGAGAGCAGCGGGGGAGGCCACTTGGGACTCGTTGCAGGCTCGTCAGGCGGTGGCGCAGGGGGAAAGGGCGGGGGAGGCGGAGGGGGGCATTTGGGTCTTGTGACGAGCTCTGCTAAGGGGGGCGCAGCCGGTCAGCTAGGGCTCGTTTCTCGTTCTCTCGATAGCAGGGGTGGTACCAGCAAGGGCGTTGCAGGTGCGGGAAGAGGAGGGCCTAGGCAAGGGAAGGCAGGGGCGAGTGGGCACGGTTTGGGGCTGGAAGTGAGCGGGCAGCAGGGAAGGGATGGCAGCAGGGGGGGCGAAGCAGAGAACGTGCTAGATGAGAAAGCACGGGCTGAGAGGGAGAGGGAAGAGAGGGAGCGGCGGGTGGTGGAGGAGCATGGGAGGGCGGTGGCGGCGGTGGAGAGCATGTCTCAGGCGGACCGAGTGACGTTCGATGGGCCGCTCGTGGACGGCCTCTCCGCGCCCCTGCAGCTCCCCAGCTTCCACGGCAAAGCCCTGCCCTGGCGCCGCAACAAGGCGCCCCCACCCTTTGCTGCCGGCGCCCATGTTGTGCACGCCATTCTGCAGGCGGAGCGGGAGGGAGCGGATGCCGCAGAGCCTGCTCAAACCAGTGAAGCTACAGCAGCAGCAGAAGTAACAGCGGAAGCAGGGACTGGAGCAGGAGCAGCAGCAGTGGCTAGAGGGCAGGGCGGAAGGGCCAGCATGAATGAGCCACCAGTTGCAGCAGCGAAGGAGCAAGACTTGAGTGCTGGTGGAGAGGCACAGCTTCCCTCCATGAGTCTTGCTGCTGCCTTTGGAGGCCTGGCCTTGGCATCTCAAGGGGAGGACGCGGGCGAAGGGAGTTTTGGCATCAGCGCTGGCTGGGCGGGAAGTAGTGGCAGCGGTGATGAGAATGGTGGTAGCTTGGGAGGTGGTGATGGTGGGTTCATGGGTGCGTTCGACTCTCTATTTAATGCGTCGGCTGGTGCTGGCGGCGCAATGGGCTTGCACATGCAACCGCTGCAAGCCCATCAAGCAGAAGGTGTGGGGGATGGGCTGGGAGAGGCAGGCGAGGCAGCGACCAGGAACTTGATGTCTGGGCGTGCAGTGAAAGACGAGACCAGGGAGAGAGAGAGGGAGCGAGAGCGGGAGTGGGAGAGTGAGCGGGAGGAGAGGGAGAGGGAGGAGAGGGAGCGGCGGGTGGTGGAGGAGCATGGGAGGGCGGTGGCGGCGGTGGAGAGCATGTCTCAGGCGGACCGAGTGACGTTCGATGGGCCGCTCGTGGACGGCCTCTCCGCGCCCCTGCAGCTCCCCAGCTTCCACGGCAAAGCCCTGCCCTGGCGCCGCAACAAGGCGCCCCCACCCTTTGCTGCCGGCGCCCATGTTGTGCACGCCATCCTGCAGGCGGAGCAGGAGGGAGCGGATGCCGCAGAGCCTACTCAAACCAGTGAAGCTACAGCACCAGCAGAAGTAACAGCGGAAGCAGGGACTGGAGCAGGAGCAGCAGCAGTGGCTAGAGGGCAGGGCGGAAGGGCCAGCATGAATGAGCCACCAGTTGCAGCAGCGAAGGAGCAAGACTTGAGTGCTGGTGGAGAGGCACAGCTTCCCTCCATGAGTCTTGCTGCTGCCTTTGGAGGCCTGGCCTTGGCATCTCAAGGGGAGGACGCGGGCGAAGGGAGTTTTGGCATCAGCGCTGGCTGGGCGGGAAGTAGTGGCAGCGGCGATGAGAATGGTGGTAGCTTGGGAGGTGGTGATGGTGGGTTCATGGGTGCGTTCGACTCTCTATTTAATGCGTCGGCTGGTGCTGGCGGCGCAATGGGCTTGCACATGCAACCGCTGCAAGCCCATCAAGCAGAAGGTGTGGGGGATGGGCTGGGAGAGGCAGGCGAGGCAGCGACCAGGAACTTGAGGTCTGAGCGTGCAGTGAAAGACGAGAGCAGGGAGAGAGAGAGGGAGCGAGAGCAGGAGTGGGAGAGTGAGCGGGAGGAGAGGGAGAGGGAGGAGAGGGAGCGGCGGGTGGTGGAGGAGCATGGGAGGGCAGTGGCGGCGGTGGAGAGCATGTCTCAGGCGGACCGAGTGACGTTCGATGGGCCGCTCGTGGACGGCCTCTCCGCGCCCCTGCAGCTCCCCAGCTTCCACGGCAAAGCCCTGCCCTGGCGCCGCAACAAGGCGCCCCCGCCCTTTGCTGCCGGCGCCCACGTCGTGAACGCCATTCTGCAGGCGGAGCGCGAGGGGCACATGGCGGGTGATGGTAATGCTGCAGTGGGAGGCGTAGCGGGTGCGGGCTTGGTTGGTGGGGGACTAACTGGTGAAATGGGTGTCGGCGGTGGTGGCAGAGGAGGGGAGATTGATGCTAGAAAGGAAGGGCGCTGTGTGGGGCTGGAAGGCGAGAGAAGGGCAGACACTGTGGCAGATGCAGCTGCTGGTGCTGCGGGGATGGGAATGGGCGGCGGGGGACTTTCTGGTGAGCTGTCGCTAGCTGCAGCGTGGAGTGCAGGAGCGGTGGGGGCAGGGGACATGGAGCAGCAGGAGACGGTACAGCTGGAGGTGGGCGAATCTGGTGGTGGGTTTGGCCTCATGAGTGCCTTTGATTCGCTCTTCTCTGCTTCCGCTGGTGCTGCTGGCCTGCCACTTTCGCAGCAATTTGATGGCGGAATCGCATTCGGTTCTGTGCCTTCCTTGCAGCTGCAACCCCAGTTCCAGCAGTCGCTGCAGCAGCAGCTACCTTCCAAGCAGGTGGCTCAGGCGCAGGGAGGGGGCAGGAGAGAGGAGGAGGAGGAAGACGAAGACAGTGAGAGTGAGCGGGAGGAGAGGGAGAGGGAGGAGAGGGAACGGCGGGTGGTGGAGGAGCATGGGAGGGCAGTGGCGGCGGTGGAGAGCATGTCTCAGGCGGACCGAGTGACGTTCGATGGGCCGCTCGTGGACGGCCTCTCCGCGCCCCTGCAGCTCCCCAGCTTCCACGGCAAAGCCCTGCCCTGGCGCCGCAACAAGGCGCCCCCGCCCTTTGCTGCAGGCGCCCACGTCGTGAACGCCATTCTGCAGGCGGAGCGCGACGGGGCTGACTCCGCAGGGCACAAGGCAGGGGAAGGTGGCAGCAGCGAGCGGAACAAGAGCTCAACCGAAGCTTCTTCATCAGCGCGCAATGCCCAGCCCCCTGCAGGCACCAACGCAGCTGAGACATCCCATGCAGACACAGTAGCTTCGGCATCACCTCCTCAGAGCCTAGCAGCCGCGTTTGGAGGGCTGGCAGGGCTGTCCTCCGGAGAAGGGAGAGACGAGGATGGCATGAGTGGCGGTTTTGGGGGGTCTGGTGGAGGAGGCCTTGGGCTGATGGGGTCGTTTGACTCGCTGCTGTCTGCCTCCTCTGGCAGCCCTGCTGCAGGGGTCAAGCAGCACGGTGCAGCAGCACTGGGCCAGTTGCAGCCTCTCTCGCTCTCTCCTCTTTCTTTGCAAGCGTCGCCCGCTGTACCGCGCACCACACCCACGCATCAGTCCACTACTCCGTCTCTCCCCCGCGCGCCCATCCTATCGCCCTTCTCCGACAAGCCAGCAGCAGCGGATTCCCTAGAGGCGCTTTTCCAGGTGTCCAAGCTGCACGGGGAAATCCCCCCCTCCATAGACAACCATCTCCTGCCCGCGTTCCCCTCGCCACGCATCCACACGCCGTCACACCTCTCCACAAAAGCCCCCGCACCTGCTGCAGGGGACCGTAGCAGCAGCTCAGACGGAAGTGCAAGGCTGGGAGCAGCTGGCGCCTCTCCTCCAGTCATCCTTGCACCCTTCTCCAATGTGCCAGCAGCAGGCGATTCCCTAGAAGCGCTTTTCCAGGTGTCCAAGCTGCACGGGGGAATCTCCCCCTCCGTTGATATCCGCAAGCTTGCATCCTTCCCCTCGCCCCCCCTGCACTCGCTTCCGCACTCAACTGCCACTCCGAACAGGGTGCCGCCAGGGGGTGAAGCAGGCAGCCTGGGCCTGCAGGCGACAGCTCGCATGGCGTTTCCGCGCTCCACGTCTGCTCCCCCAGCGCATGCCGCCATTGACGCTGCAGCTGATGCTGTGCTGCTGCAGCTGGACCTCCCGCTGCGTAGAACAGGCTCTGCTGAGCTGCAACCGCTCTCCCCCACCTCTGCTCAGCTGGATGTCAAGGCTCCTTCCGCTCTCGCCTTGTCTGATTCCAGTTCTAGTGCGTTTGCTGCTCCCCTGGGTAATTCTGCTGTTTCCCTCCCTTGCTCTTCTGCTGCCCCTGTCTCGCCATCCGTCCCCTCCTCCTCTTTCTCCTCCGCTGCCCCTGCTTTCTCGTCCTCGTCGCCGTTGGCAGCAGCGGCAGCACCAACACCCGCAGCAGCAGAAGCAGGAGAGACATTAGCGGGAGAAGAGTCAGAGCCGCTTTCATCCCTAGCAGTGAATTTCGCGTCTCTGCTTCTTGCTGGGTCCGGGCCGGGCATTCCGCTTGACCAGAGCCCATCCCCCCATGGGCGCTTTGCCATGCAAGCCAACATCCCCCTCTCCCCGCACCTCGTCTCACCCTCCTCCCGCCTGCCCACATCCGCTATCGCATTCCCCAGTCCAAAGCTAGCTATGAGTCCCAAGGTGGCGCTGGCATCTCTGGTGGGCCACCTAGGCCCTGTCAGCCCTCTCTGCGTGGCCTCCCCTGCCTCTCGCCCCTCTCATTCGCTTCACCCCTCTCCGCCCGCCTCCCCTCTTGAGAAGCTCTTTAATTTATCCAAGGGCGCCGGTGCTGTGCCTCTCTCCCCTACCCTGAGTCCCTGTGGGTCCCGCCCAAAGACCCTCCTAGGCCTCGTCAATCCCCGGGAGCCTGCCTCCGCCTCCTCCTCTTCATTTTCCTCCTCTCCTCGCTCCTTTGCGGCTTCAAGCGTGCTTGGCAGTGAGGCTGGTAACACAGGGCTGGGGGGCAGTGCAGGGAGAAGCGGCAGTGCAAGGGCAGCAGCTGTGGCAGGGAGTGGTGCTGGTGGTGCGGGCGCTTCAGAGGGTGCTAGAGGCTCTGTGCTGAGACCAAGGCAAGAGAGCACGGGGCAGCAGCAGCAGCAGCAGCAGCAGCAGCAGCAGGTGGGGCAGGTGGAGCAGTCAGCAGAGGTGTACAGGCACGAGTGTGTGGGTCTGACGGACCTGGGCCCACTGGGGGGAGGAGGGCAGGACGAGAGGCAGTTCCACCTCGCGCTGCCCAACTTCAAGCAGAATGGACCCCCCTTCCTCAGACGCGGCCCACACACCACCCACTCCTCTAGTGATCCTGCCATAGCATCTGTTACTGTTTCTTCCTCCTCTTCGTCTTCTTCCTCCTCCTCCTCCTCCTCCTCCTCCTCCTCCTCCTCCTCCTCCTCCTCCTCCTCCTCCTCCTCCTCCTCCTCCTCCTCCTCCTCCTCCTCCTCCTCCTCCTCCTCCTCCTCCTCCTCCTTCTCCTCCTCTAACCCCCTAGGCATGCCCTCCCCTTCCTCCGGCCCTCTGACCTTCTCTCCACGGCCCATGCCAGCCGCCCTCCAGCCGCACCATGAGAGTGCTGCTGAGAAGGCTGGGCCCAGAGGGGGGCAGCGCGAGCAGGAAGTGAGGCTTGGGGAGGGGGAGGGCACGGAGGGGAGTGACGAAGAGGGGGACGTGTCTGAGTGGTGGATGCGAGCGCCCACTCTGGGACCTGGCAACTGGGGTATAGGCGACGATTCCGATGCTGGCGCAGGAGAAAAGAGGGGCAGCAGTGGCAAGCTGGAGAAGTTAGCTGAGGAGAAGAGGGAAGAGGTGGACAAAAATGGGGTGGGTGGAGAGGAGGAGGCGGATGGGGGCGAAGAGGGGCAGGTGGGGAAGGTGCGTGAGCAGGAGATGAAAAGAGAGGGGGGTAAGGGAGGTGGTGCAGGGGGCAAGGTGGAGGTAGATGTGGAGCGCATGATGGGCATGCTGCAGCAGCTGCAGACGCCTCTCGCGGATGTGCGGGCAGCACTTGAGGGTGGGGGGCGAGGCGCAGAGGAGTTTGAGGCTGCTGCAAGGGCGCTGGAGGCGGACTTGAGACGGTTCCTGGAAGCGAGGAGGCACACGAAGGATGAGGCAGGGGTTGAAGGGAAAGGAGTGGGGGGGACTAAGGGAAGCTCTGGCGCTGGGATGGTGGAGGCTGAACGGGAGGGCGGAGGGGGAAGGGGAAGAGGAGGGGGAGGGGGTGATGGGATGGGGTTGGAGGGAGAGGCGGTGGTGGTGGAATTGCCGGGGCAAGGTGATTCGAGCAAGAGGGGAGGTGGCGATACTTGTGCAGAAACAGCTAGGAATGGCGGAGCGGAAGGAGGTGAAGGGGGAGAGGGTACGGATGAGGGAGGAGGGGCGGAGAAGGAGAGTTCTGGAACTATCACAGATAAGTTATGTGCTGCTGAGTCAAAACGCGAGGCACTTGTGAGAGGCAAGCAGGGAGGCAAGCAGGGGAGGCAGGGGAAGGAGGCGGGGCAGGGGGCGGATGTAGCATCCGGTGCACCCCCACCCCCAGGCGCAGGCTCAGGTGTGTCTCCAGCAGCGCTACAAGCGGCTCTCACGCGGGAGCTTCATGCACAGACCAAAGGGGGGTCAGCCGCACCAGAGGTTAGCACAGCAGATGCAGCAGTTCAGGCAGGGAGTGGCAGGGCGGGCGAAGGCAGAGGTGGGAAGAGTGGGGAAGCAGTGGAGGTGGGAGTGGTGGGGGGGAAGGTGGTACTGAGTGGCAAGATCAGGGTGGGGCCAGAGATTCAGTTCTCTGGCACGTGGTCGCCTCTGGGCCTGCCCCACTCCGCCTCGCAATCCTCTGCAGCGGAATCCGCCTCTCCAGGTGTGGAGGACGGTAGACCGGGCGCTCCTGCTGCAGCTGAGGGGGTTGCTGGGCTATCGACTGCTGGGGGGGATAGACAGCAGCAGCAGCAGCAGCGTCGGCGGCACAGAGAGAGGACGCTACGCAAGCAGGATAGAAGTAAGTCAGGGGTGGTGGTGGGTGGGGGCGGGGGAATGGAGCGCAGGGCAAGGGGCAGGGAGCAGGAGGAGGACTTGCAGGAGGAGAGCTTGAGCGAGGCCGAGGTGGAGAGGGATAGGCGGCGGCGCAGCGGGCGCATGGTGAGTAGTATCAGCGTGGGGGGCATGGGCATGGGCATGGGCATGGGCATGGGCATGGGCGTTGGCATGGGCATTGGCATGAGCAGGAGCCACGAGGGCACTGCAGGAAGCAGCACAGGGAGTGCGGGGAGCGGGCGTAGTAAGAGGAAGAAGGACCGATCGGGAGCGGTTGAGGCCGGTGGGGTGGAGTGGGCGAAGGCGGATGCCAGGGACAGTGGTGGAGATGCGAGCAGGGAGGGTGCTAAGGACGCTGGTAGGGATGGGTTGAAGGAGAGTGGCAGGCGTAAGAAGGGTGGTGGGAAGGGTGCAGATGGTGGGTCTGGGAAAGGCAAGGGTGAGTTGGGGGATGGACATGGTGGTGTGAAGGCAGGGAGGCACGTGGGTGCAGAAGGGGAGGTAGCAAATGTGATGGGGGGGAAAGAGAGGAAAGAAGTGCGCGGTAGCAGGGACGGGCGGGAGAAGGAGGGGAAGGGAGGGAGTGATGGAAAACAATCAGAGAGTGTGTTAGGAGGGAGGAAGGCAGGGGGCAAGGCAGTGGATGAGGGAGAGGAAGATGAGGAGGACGTGTTTTATGATGCACGGGAGGTGGTGAGCTCGCCTGCCTCAGAGGACGACAGAGGCAGCGAGCGGTCTCTCAGGCACATCATAGCCAAGGCGGCATCCCCTGGCACGCTTCCTAGTGGTGGTGGTGGTGGTGGTGCTGCTGCTGCTGCAGCAGTGGGGGTTGGGGTGGCGGATGTGGAAGAAAGGGGGGCTGCGAAGCAAGGGAAGGAGGGGAAGAGTGTGTCAAGTGTTGCGAGGACGCGTTCGGGGGTTAAGGGAAGGCTTGGGAGTGGCGACAGCAGCAAGGGACGGAGGAAGGAGCAGAAGGGCGCAGAGGAGAAGGGAGCAAGGGACGAGCTGAAGAGAGGCGATAGTGGCGTGGGGGCAGCAGGCGGAGGGGAGAGTGGGGCGGGAGAGAGTGACGCGAGGGGCGGTAGTGAAGCAAGTGGTGGTGGCCGCTTGGAGGGTGCAGGGAAGAGCGGGCAGCACGCAGGTAAGGGAGCAGGGAAGCGCAGTTCCGTGGATAGCGCAAGCGGTGGGAGAAAAGACGAGAAGGAGGCAGAAGCAGGGCACGAGCAACGCAAGCACAAGGGGAAAGGGAGCAAGAAAGGAACAGAAGCGGTGTCGACAGGAAAGGCTAAGAAACCGGGCAGCTCCACTGTATCGTCACCCGCTCCGTCCTCCACATCTGGTGTCTCTAAATCCCGCCCAGCCACTAGCAGTGGCAGCAGCAACCCGTCCTCACAGCCTTTGTCATCAGGTGCGCAGGGCCCTCCCCTGGCATCAGCATCCATCCGGCGCACTGTGTCTGACCTCACAGAGGAGATCAGCGCCCTCAAGGCCGCCACTCTCCTCATCACCACCCCTGCTGCTGCTGCCGCTGCTGCGGCTGCGGCTGGGGCAGCTGCCAGTGGCGCCTCTGATTCAGGCACTGTGAGTAGCAGCGGGGAGAGCGATGCATTCAGTGGGGGTGTTGGAGCAGAAGGGCAGGGAGCACAGGGGGCACAGCTGTTGCAGCTGTTCACTCCAGCATGCAGCACGGCAGCCGCTCGCAAGGCCCAGCGCACAGCCGCTGCCATCTCTGCTCTGCGCGAGGCAGCAGCACGGGAAGGCCCTCTGCCTGCTCTCGTCTGTGCCCCACCCACATTGCCCTGTGGGGACGCTCCAACGCGGGAGGAGGCATGGAGACGGCTTGGCAGCAGCAGGTGGAAAGGGCAGGACGACGACTCAGGTCTAGGCACAGACATCGCTGCTGCGGCTTTAGGTAGAGACGCAGCGAGTTTCCGGCTGTCATCCCCCACTCCCCTGGTGTCCCGTGCTGTGCCAGGCTTTGTGGCGCTCGACTTGCCTCCCGCCGCGGGTCCCTTCTCGTCAGCACCGCACAGCGCCACGGCCATCTGGCACATGCTGCAGCTAAACGCCGCACCGCTGCTCTCAGGCCCGCCCACTGCACTCATCTCGCAGTCCTGCTCGCTCTCCCCTCTACACTCGTCCGGGATGGGCTTGGCCGGTGAGCCACGGTGGGGTTCGGGCACGCTGAGGAGCAGTGTGGATGCGCTGCTGCAGCTGGGGCAGGAGGGGGGCGACCTGGAATGGGCAACTGGCAGCACTGGTGCCACTGGGGGAGATGGTGCTGCGGAAGGGACTGGTAGTGCCGCTGCTGCTGCTGCTGCTGCGGCTGCGGCTGCAGTTGCAGCGTCTCAGCTGAGCCCTTCAGTGCGCAGCCCCCAGGGGGGTTCGGGGGCGGGAGCGGGGTGGAGGCTGGCGGTGCCCATTCACCAGCTGCCAGGGGACAAGGAGGATTACGAGGAGGGGCAGGTGTGCCCTCTGTCGCGCTCCAACAGTGCCAATGTGGAGGCGCTACTGTCTGATGCTCACACTGCTGCTGCCACTGCTGCCGCTCTCTCTGCTGCTGCTGCCGGTTTGCTGGGTGACATGGGGACCAATGGAGGCTCGCCGCTTAAGCCGAGCAGGAAGGCTGGAGTGGGGGTGGAAGGCGAGAGGGGCATGGAGGAGGGTATGGATGCAGGTGGTGGTGGGAGAAAGTCCAGGGCAGGGGTGAAAGGGAAGCGCAAGGAGATGGCCATAGCGGAGGAGGAGAGCGGGGCAGAGGAGGGCATGCAGGGAGGCGCAGCGAGCAGCGACAGCAGTGTGGTGTTTGCGGCGCCTGCTGCGTCAGGCCCAGCAGGCAGCAGCAGCTCCAGCAGGCTGCGCCCCATGAAGACGGCCCCTGCTGGCGCCCTGGCGTCGCTCGCTAGCTTCTTCTCCTCCAAGTCCAAACACACCCGCAGCGGCAGCACAGGCGAGGAAGGTGCCTCTGCTTCTGGCAGCGGTGGCGCTGGCAGCAGTGGCAGCAATGGGAGCAGTGGGGTGGAACGAGAAGGTGGTGGGGCAGCAGGAAGAGGTGGGAGTGCGTGGGGTGCAGCAGAGGCTGCTGTTAGAGCCACGCACCCGCACGCACACCCACCTGCTGCCCAAGGCGCCACGCCTGTGCCTCTTGCTGCTGTACATGCCCACTCTGCTCCTGATGTCTCTTCTTCGTTTTCTACAATGTCTCCTCCCGGCAAGGCCCCTCTCTCCCCACAGCAACTGCCTGCACCAGTATTGGCTCCTGCAGGGGCAGCAGGGCTTGCTGCCAGCCTTGCTGCTGTCTCTGCCGCAGTAGGCGCATCTGGGGGAGGCTCGTACGGGGGCAGGCATGGTGTGGAAGGGCCACGTGCAGAAAACACTACCCCAGGCGCTCACGACCCCTCCAGCATTGCTGCTGGGAGTCCCAGCATCTCTCTCTCCCGCGGCCTCTCCCCTCTCTCCCGCCCTGCCTCCTACGCCTCTGCTGTGGCAAGCACGTCTGGTGCAACCACAGCAGCAGGTGCAGGGGCGGGTGGGGATACAGGGTCGGGTTCTAGAGGTGTGGTAGCAGCAGCAGCAGCAGCAGCAGCAGCAGCAGCAGCAGCAGCAGCAGCAGCAGCAGCACAGCCAGCAGCGGGATCGCAGCTCCCGGCAGCAACAGGGCTAAGCTCAGATGCGACGGAGGAGGAGTGGCGAGACGCAGGCAGCGGCAGCAGCAGCAGCAGCCCTGTGCGGTCAGTGCGTTCATGCCAGTCGACAGGGAGTGATGTGCAGGTGCAGCAGATTGTGCACCACCACCACCATCACCACCACCACCACCACCACGGCTTCCACCCCTTCCGCCGCAAGAAGGGGCGCAAGCATGCCGCGGTTGAGACCGTGGTGCAGAACACAACAGTGCAGGAGATGGGGGGGGAGGGGAGCATGGGGGCCATGTCAGCATCGCCATCGAGCAGCAGCTTCATGAGTGCGAGCAGCTTCAAGAGCCAGAGCAGTGTGGCGCAGCTCATTCCCCACCAGCGCACCAACAGCAGTGGCGGCAGCAGCACACGCGGCGCCTCGCCTGGCAGCAGCCGGGCGAGCACTGCTGCCTCTACGGGTGGGGCTAATGGTGCTGGTGGTGCGAGGGGCAGCACGGGCGGCAGCAGCAACGGTGGGGTGTCGTCGCGGTCTGCGTTTCAGGACACGGTGGGGGCAGCGCTGAGTGGTGGCGAGTCGGAGGCAGACAGTGACATGGACGTTATTGATGAGCAGGTGGGTGCACGTGTAACCAGAGGTATGGGCAGGAGCAGGTAGGGACTCCATACTGTATCATTCCATACCATCCCGTGCTGTACCGTACCATTTCGCACCGTACCATATCCATGACATTATCCTTGGGAAATACGCCATTGCTTCAGTCATGACTCCCCTTATTCCTGATTCGATTCGTTGCTGGAAACTGGTTGTGTGTGTCCATCCTCTCATCCTTGGTGGGTGCCCACCAGCCATGACAGTCCCCGTGTCTTCTCGCTCCCTACCTCACTCTCTCTTTGCTCTCTTCGTTCCCGACACACTCATCTCTACATCTCCCACAGGCTCTTCTGGCAGCAGTCAAGCGCACAGCAGGCATCACATGCTGTGTGCGGCCGCGGGTCTTTGACTGATGCGGGCATGCAATGTGATAGAATCAAACGTGGTATAGGTTGAGAGTACCGTAGTACTGGTAATTTATGCATGTGAGGGCACATATTTGCCTTTGTATAGGGTTGCGATTATTTGCGTGACTGAGACGCGCTGTAGAGAAGGTGACATTTGACCATTCACAAGTGGACATGAAAATAGTATTCCAGTCCTGGATTATTTCACTTAGCATATACAAATGCCATCTTAAGTGTATTCATCAATATTGTTTTGTACTAGTCCATTTTTAGCGTTGAAGTACAGTTGTTTCCAATGATGGTGTAGCTGCGATGCACCCGTTTCGTTTATTTCGCTCGTTTCCTCTCAGATCAGTGGGGTGAGCAAGCAGGTGTCAGAAAATCAGTTCCTCCACCAAATCAACGACGAGTAACAGCAAAAAATTACGAAGCGGAGACCTTTCGCCATCTTCGCTCATTTTGCCAAAGCTTTCCCAACCACAGGCCAGCGTCAGAGAGTGGATCAGCTCAAACCCCAGATCTCAACCGCAGTTGCATGCCTAGAATTTACATCCACGGCTGGGATTCACTTCGCTCGTAGTGGTTGGAACAAGAGCTTCAGATTCAAACCATTGGGCTTGCCGCGTTCCAAACTGACACGATTACTCTGCGACTCCAGATCAGACGACAATCGACGGTTCCTATGTCGCGGGGTCCAACGTTCACCAGCGAAATCCCGCGACTCCCGCCTTTGTCAACGGAATCTTGCTGGAAAAAAGTCGGTGTCTGCGTCTCGTGTAGCCGCTAAGGTGAATGGAGGGGACAAGCGAACAGCGTAAACTTGCAATATCTTTTCGCCTCCCTGACCGGCAGGGAATTCATGTGCCACGCGGACGATTATCAACCAGCCACTGAAGTGGACTTTCGAATCTCCTGTCATGAACAAAAAATAAGCCTGACCGGACCAACCATTTGCAGCCACCGTCACTTTTCCTCGCAACCCAACACAGCCGGTTAGCCTGTAGACCAATGCAGAACTGGCTAGGGTTGCTGTGACGAAACACGCAAAAGGACCGAACCTACGGCTGAGATCTGGATAAGCAAGAGAGTTTCAGACAATCCAGTGATTCTGGACGGTAGATCTGAAGAGGGATGTTGTGAGGGAAGGAGAGGAGAGGCAGTTGGTGACCCCTCCGCCTCATTCCAGCGTGACCGTCGTCTCTCGCATCATTCTCGCCTGAGCCTCGGATTTCACAGCGCTTTCGCCTCTTGCTCTCATTTTCTCATTTTCTCACGCTCAGCTTCTTCTGCTCGCTTTCTTAGAGCTGCTGCGACTGCGAAGAGGAGAGCCGCCAGCGATGCTCGTTCTCAACACAAGATTAGGCATTCTGCTTCAGATCTGGTTTTATTGAAGGAGCTTAGGCATTCTCAAAACAAGCTGGAGCCATTCCGCCATTCCGATAAGGCTTTTACGGGAGGCGAAAATTGGGTGTTGGCGTCAGGAAGCCTGGAAGCTTAAACAATTTCTGCGGTGACTAGGGAAAAACAAGTGCGGAGATGGTGCTTTGTGAATAGGATGTAAAATTGAGTACGTGTGCTTATCTTTCTCCTATCCGCATCTTATGTAGTGCTTTCGTATTAGCACACGCGAAATTTTTCAACGGCGCGTATAACGTGTATGCTGGTTGTATGTTGCAGGTTCTTTGGGGAGGCGACATGTCACTGGCTGTGCGTGCGATTTCGGCGAGTACATGCGATTTCGACGAGTGCGTGCGATTTCGGCGAGTACGTGCGATTTCGGCGAGTGCGTGCGATTTCGGAGAATACGTGCGAGTTCAGTTGGCTCGCGTCCTTGGTCTGGCAGCTCAGGTATTTCCGAAAGCCACACCCATTCAATTTCGCAAATCGATTTCGCGGATGAGTATCTGGTATGTCTCGTGTCTCAAATTCGCTTTTCCGTTTCACGTGTCAATTACTACTCGTTTTCGCACCTCGTTGTCGCGTTTCAATTTCTCGTCCCAATTCCGCAAGGATTTCAATTTCACGTATCAGTTTCGTATCGCAGTACGTTTCGCAAGCTACTTCCCTGACGCACGCTGTAACTGCGTCTCTCCACCCGCCACTGCAGGCCGCCGTGCGCCACGCCGTTCCCACCCCCCGGACGGGTGCGAAGCTGCTGGGTGCCTCAACCACTCTCGCCACCTGCGATTTGGGGCCCACACGCAGTGCTCTCTGCTCCTCCCATACCAAGATAAGTCCACACCACAATCTTCGTCTCTCAGATTGAGTGTTGTGCTCTGCTATGAGGTCTTCGGTCTTTGCAATTCCTTTTCCCTCCGCTCTCACTTCACACACTCTGCTTTGCTTATTAACTCACTGCCCTCCCCACTCCGCTATTCTCCTCCCCCTCCTCCCTTCTCTCTGTCCTGATCTTCCCCCTCTCGTCCCAGCAGGTCGCTCACGCGGAAGTGGCAGTGGCGGGGAACATGGAGTGCACACACAGCAGCTGCTTTCCACCGAACCCACCCACACCTAAGCTAAGTATCCCGCCCTGCCTCTCTCCTCCCAACCCTCATACGTGTGTTGCCTTTCATGTATAGCTTGCATGATAAACCAATCTCCCTTCCTTCCTGCCCTCTGTCACATTCAAGAGACCTCCCTCCCCCAAGGTAGCAAGGTAGCAGGTACGTGCTCAGGTATTTGGTTTCGTGTGGTTCAGCTGGTATGAGGTCTCTTGGGTGTGCCACTGCAGCAGTCCATTCATGCTCTCTTCTATCTGCTCTCACTTCACTCACTTGTCCTTGCTTCTTGCCTCACTGGCCTCCCCGCTCCTCAATTCCTGTCCTCTCCTCCTTCTCTCTGTCCTGATCTTCCCCCTCTCGTCCCTGCAGGTCGCTCACATGGGAGTGGCAGTGGCAGGGGACATGCAGGTTTCTGTGGGGATGGGAGGGAGGCAGCATTGTCAGCCAGTCGCTGCCACAAGGGAGAGTCTGGGCTTGGCCTCTCAAGGTACGTGAGCGTCTGTCTTGTCCTCAACCCTCTCCTTTTCTGCTTTATAATTTCGAGTCTTGCTTTTCGTCAACTTCAGTTTTTCTATTTTCTTGTCATGCCAGCTGGCTTACTTGTTCTTTACTTCCCCTCTTTCTTCCCCCCCTACCAGGTCACTTGGCAGCGAGTGAAGACTGTAGCAGAGGAAGCTGAGTAGCAGACCGGCAGCAGCAGTTGCAGCAGCAGAAGCGGCAGCAGCAGCAGCAGCAGCAGTGAGGGGTGGGGGGCTACAGGGCAGGCTAGGTTAGGTCGAGTCATGAGCGAGGTGTGGTATGGTAACAAGTGTGGTATGGTATCAGGTGAGGTATGTACATCTGATCCCCTCCTCTCTTTCTCTTCCCCCACCCCTTGCAGCCTGATGGAGGGAGGGAGTACTGGAGCAAGGGTGGGAAAGAGGCGTCTCTCCTGTCATCCCCCCCTCCCCCTCCCCACTTCTCAACATCCTGAGGCATCATGGCGCTCTTCATGGTAGGTAGAGGTAAGGAGGCATGGGTTGAAGGGGGGAGGGGGAGTGGGGATGGGAAGCATGGGAGCAAGTGGGCAGTTCACTGCCTTACGTGCAGCACCCTTTGGGGTTGTGCCTTGTGGGTCGGGGTGTGGTGGGTGGAATCTGCGCGGCACGGCACTCGGTGGTCAAGTAACCGATCTGGCGTTCAAAGCTTAATGGACACTGTCAGAGCCGACCGGCCGGCGGCTCTGGTTCGCGTCAGCTCAAGCTACGTCAGGGGTGGGATTTGAGTCTTGGGCTGGAAGCGCTTTTCCACTGCCACACCTCGCCACACAAGGTACAGCCGCTGGGGGTGCTGTTTCCCTGAGGCAATGGGCTGTTTGCTGCTCCTTCTGCTGGCATGTAATGGTGGGAGCGGGTGGGTGGCGTGGAAGTTGATGGAGAGTGGGGGTTGAAACCCCTTGGGTGGGAGAGTGGGGGCTGAAACCCCTTGGGTGGGAGAGTGGGGGTTGAAACCCCTTGGGTGAGAGAGTGGGGGCTGAAACCCCTTGGGTGGGAGAATGGGGGTTGAAACCCCTTGGGTGGGAGAGTGGGGGTTGAAACCCCTTGGGTGGGAGAGTGGGGGCTGAAACCCCTTGGGTGGGAGAATGGGGGTTGAAACCCCTTGGGTGGGAGAGTGGGGGTTGAAACCCCTTGGGTGGGAGAGTGGGGGATGAAACCCCTTGGGTGGGAGAGTGGGGGTTGAAACCCTTGGGTGGGAGATTGGGGGCTGAAACCCCTTTGGTGGGAGAGTGGGGGCTGAAACCCCCTGGGTGAGAGAGTGGGGGCTAAAAACCCCTTGGGTGGGAGAGTGGGGGTTGAAACCCCTTGGGTGGGAGATTGGGGGCTGAAACCCCTTTGGTGGGATAGTGGGGGCTGAAACCCCCTGGGTGGGAGAGTGGGGGCTGAAACCCCTTGGGTGGGAGAGTGGGCGTTGAAACCCCTTGGGTGGGAGATTGGGGGCTGAAACCCCTTTGGTGGGAGAGTGGGGGCTGAAACCCCCTGGGTGGGAGAGTGGGGGATGAAACCCCTTGGGCGGGAGAGTGGGGGTTGAAACCCCTTGGGTAGGAGATTGGGGGCTGAAACCCATTTGGTGGGAGAGTGGGGGCTGAACCCCCCTGGGTGGGAGAGTGGGGGCTGAA